CACCTATATATATGTGAGGAGGGAGAGGGGCAACAGACATCATGATTCCCAAGCCGTGTGCGGCGCGCCTCTCCCTCTAGTTCGTCCTGGGTCATTATTTTCGTAGTGCTCGGCGAAGCCCTGCAGAGATAGCTGCACCACCACCATCACTACGTCGTCGTGATGCCGGAACTCATCTACTAATTCGCCCGTCTTGCTAGATCAAGAAGGCGAGGACGTCATCGAGCTGAACATGTGCCGAACACGGAGGTGCATACGTTCGATACTTGATTGGTTGGATCCTAAAGGTGTACGACTACATCAATTGTGTTGATAAACGCTTCCGCTAAATGGTCTACGAGGGTACGTAGACATACTCACGCCTCTCGTAGCTATGCATCTCCATGGATAGATCTTGCTTGTGCATAGAAAATTTTTGTTTTCCCTGCAACGTTCCCCAACACTTTTCTCCGCCACACGACGACAGATGCACAGGCCTTCCGGTCTACGGTGTCACCGACACGCAAGGTATATCCTGAACCATGAATCGGTCGTGCTATACTTTTTCCGATTTGGGTAACTTGGATTCACAAATCTACGCTATTGTTGTTTGGTGGCTTGCTTGCAATACGCGTGGGTACCTTTAGACAGGAACATATGCAGTTTCTTTGGTATCACATGAGGAAATTTAAAAACGCCTGATTCACTAATATGTGTGTGTTCCCAATGAGTATACTCTTGATGGAAAGTTATGTCTTTTAACCCTTTATTCGTCCTGCAGCTTTATCAATGCCAGGCCTTGAATTGGATTTTTTAGAACATGTTTCATTTGGCTTAAAAATATATCTGCAATGACATGCTATTGTTACTTTGTTAGCAATCATCTAAATGCTCCACATTTCCTGTGATAAATATATTAGTCTATAAAACATGCACTGCTTTATGTGTTGCCTGCCCCTCTTCGATTATGCCTTCTGTTGTACTGAATAAGTTTTCTCCTGTTCCAATGGTGTGTTTGAATATCACTTCCTAAGGTTAACTCATGTTTAGTCTGCTTCGATTGATAGGAATATTATTTGACCAGCAATAACCAAGCAATGGTGTTTTTTAGCAGGTCGTATGACATTGTTTGATCGCTCAGGAAAAGGATCTCCAACCAGGATATGCATCAAGGCATATTCTAGCGTCGTGGGGAAGCAAATTGCGAAGCTTGGTGAACTGGCCACGGAGGAGGTCGCCCGGCAGTGGACGTTCAAAGACGATGTTGATGCCATGGTGGACGTTCAAAATATGGTATCCACGTCTAAAACCTATCTTAAATTTCATATCTTATTGGTTTGGTCATTTACTATGGTAAAAAAAGTGTTAATGATGGAGAAATGTGCTGAGTCTAAAATAATGCAAACCAGCAAACAGAAATTTTGGTGGTTTTCATACACAAAAAGAGGCTGTTTTTATAAATAAGATCCGGTCCTCTTCCCCCCTCCCCTCCCCGCGTCGCTCACGTGTGGCGACCGGGGGGAACCCTAGCCGCCGGCTTCGGGCCTCCCCTCGTCCCTTCCCTCCCTCGCCGCCGCCGGACCACGCTGCCGGGCAAAGCCCGCCGGCGCCGGTGGCGACGGGGCTCTTCTTCATCCCGCTCGAAGGCTGTTGGCGCAGGGCGGCGGCGGACGACGGTGCTTCGCGCTGGTGCGAGGCGCGGAGGCGCGGCGGCATGCCCTGGCGGCGGGGTAGAGAGGGCTTGGTGGCGGCGCGGTGGGCTGCACGGGGTGGCTCGCGCTCGTGGCTGCGGTGGCGGCCAGATCTGGCGGTCCGGCGGGCGCGGGCGACGCGCGGCGCCTTGCCGGCAGGTGCGGGCGCTTCTGCTGCTGCGTGCAGTGCGGTGGTTGGGCTCGCGGCGGGAGCGCATGCTGGTGGTGCGTGCTGGCCGAGCTCCATTCGGGCCTCCCCTGTTTCGGCCCCTGGACAACGGCGAGCGGCGCGAGATGGCTCTCCGGTGAGTGCTCTTGGCTGAGGGTGAGGGCTGGCTTCATGCTCCTTGTCGATGGCTGGGCAGGCTGTCTTTGGTGGCCTCACGTCGGCCGCCACGGTGAGGCGACACGGGGTGTGTCCGGTGGGGAGTTTTTAGGAGGGATGGGAGGCCCCGATGTCGGGCCACTCGTCGCCGGTGCGGGGGTGCACCGGTCCGGACGTGTCCGCTCCTCCTCCCCCTTTCCTCGGTCGTGTGCCCTCTGGCGATGTTCAAGGCAGGGCGGCTGTTGGCTGCTCCATTGGCGGATGCTGCGAGTCAGGCCAAAGCCAAGGCCTTTGGGCGTTCTCATAGTTGCTTGGATGCAGGGCGGCGGCCCTGGCGGCGGGAAACGCGGTGTTCATGGGCGGAGCGCGTGTCTTGGGTGCGGTCGGGCAGCCATGGTCATGCGGGTGGCATGGTTGGTGATGTTTGACGTAGCATGGTGGTTTGGCGGAGGGTTAACACCACAGTGCATAACTTGCCCGGTCTTCTCCGGCCGACGGTGGCGGCGGCCACGGGCGTCGTTTCTTTCATGAAAGCTCCGTCGTGGTGTTCTCTTCTCTCCACGTTGCTCCGGGTGAAAACTTGATCCTCAGGGTCGGGCGGTGGCGGCTACCGGTGTCGTGCCCTTCTTGAAGGCACCGCCTTGGACTCCATGCTTCGTCACTGTCCCGCTTCACTTCTCGGTGGCTAGGTCTCGGGAGGTCCTCGTCGGCCCCAAGTAGTTCCTTTTGGCCCATCTGTAGTATGCTTGGTGGTCGATTGGATAGTGTTGCGGTGCATCCGCACCCTTGTATATTGTCTTGGATGTGTGTGTTGTGTGGGGTGGTAGCGTGTTGTATCCGGATTTGTATCTCTGGTCGTGGCTTTATATATAAAGCGGAGCGAAAGCCTTTTTCGGTCATACACAAAAAAGACGCTTTGCATTAAACTTTTGCTTTGTGTATCTCCGGTGCTTGGATAGTTATGTGTGCATATAATTGATGTTTGTATATCGTGATGATCATCACTTCCAAGTGAAAATTGTCTATCACCAGTCAAATATACCTATCTCTTCGCTTTGCATTTTCACCCGCCTTTATATAATGTTTGCTACCGGGTTAGCTAAAACGGGGATGTATGGGGTGCGGCTGGATGCACTTCTTATCTGGCTGGGCGCACTTCCTATCTGGTCAGTTCATGGATAATGATTTTGTGTATGGCATTGTACTGAACCAATATCATTGTAATTTTTTGTACTTGCGATGGTCCAGTGACTATTACTGGGTTGGATACGACTGTACCCGGCAGAAGCCGCACTTCCTACCTAGTAGTAAGGATGATGACAGCAGAGAACCAATCAAGCTGATACAACTGCATTACAACAGTTGCTTCATACGAACTCATAGGTTCACTCATTCATTACAAAACAGACATGGGCAAACAGTTAGCAGCAGCTACTCTAGTTTGTTCTTTGCTGCAGCGCTATCTACCTGGCCATCTCAAATCTTCACCCAGGCTCCTAACCAAAAATATTTCAACGCTGAGCAATTACCAAGTGTAGAATAAACTTACAATCTGCTCACCGCAGACCAACATAGAAAAGCTTTCGGTTTCCCTTTCGCCGTCACTTTGGACAAAACAACAACTTGTTACATGAATGCTAATTCACATTTCATTCTACAACACATCAACATCACAATTCCCCACCAATTAGCTGGCTACACCGCCCCATCAAGCTGCTGCACCTGTCATACCCTCCTGTAATTCGGATTGATTCCGTAAGGTAACCAGCTATTGTCATCATACAGGACCTCATGTGCCCCGTTGAAACCATGGGGGTGGAACGACCTATTAATCGCTGGCTGGTGGACTGGCAAAGGAACAAACATATGCCGGGCTTGCTGCTGCAGTTGAATCCCAGGATCCGTCGAGTAGATGAAACTACCATGAGGTTGTCCTATCATATGAGGACCTGGATGAAAGTGTGCTTGTGGCAACCCATAGGAAAGCCGAGGAGGAATCGGAAGCTGAGATGGATGCACAATCTGATTAAATGGTTGGGTAGAACCTACTTGATGCACATGAGGCATAAATACAGTGGGAGTTGGTAAAATAGAATCAGTCCTGTTAGCAGCGCGGCCACGTTGTGCAGCGTGCTTCACTTTCTTTTGCTGCTTCTCACTGTTTCCGGGGTCATGTCGCAACTCCCTCTTCCTCTTGCTCTTAACATGTTTTGGACTGGGGTGACTGACTGGCACATCCTGATTTAACGCCCCAAAAATGAGGATCTTCAGTGTCGGTGCATCAATTTTACCCCTAAAGAAATCAGTCAATTTGGAAACAGTATCCTTTAGGCATTCACAGATGTTCTGCATCTCCACCTTCCCTACTGATCTGGCAAAATTCTGAGATCTGTCCAAGAAGTCTTCCACCTGCAAAAATGAACGTATCAAATCAAATAAACAATGCTCTGCAGGATTTATTGAGAAGTCACAATCCGAATTCACACAAAACTTACACTCAAGTTACCAATTCCTCTGTTCCAGGTCTTTGAGATCCAGAATCCATCAAAATTGCTGGCACAAAGCCCTTGCTCCCATAAATCCTTTACTGCTAGTAGCTGCACAAGAGAAGACAAGAGTATATTTGAGCATGTTGACCATTGAAAAGTCAAGATGAGGCCACGATGAAACTAGGATGCGAGCTATGTGGCATGAATGAACAATTGCATTTATTTTCTTTATTTTTGCAAGGTGCCCATACGTAGCCACATGCACATAGCCAGAAAAAAGGAGCTAAAAACAGCTGTGCGTTAAACGAGGACAAGCTATACACTGCACAATGGAATCAGGTGGTTTAATCATGTTCTCTGAGGAAACAGGGTCACTATATTGAATAATCAGGTTACTTGATCACCATATTTCACAGGAAAATGTTCTGAAGGGCAAATGACAACAATGTCATAGCTCAACTGAACAATGTCATCCCATTCCCGCCCAAAAAAAAAAAAGTCATCCCATTCCAGCAGGGTCAGGTAGGCTGAACATGTGCTGAAGTTAAGATCAAGTGGAGATGTTTGCAGCAGGAGGCTAAGGCTACATTAACTGGAAGTGTAATAGGAACATTGTCAAAAGTACATTCATCGACAAAAAAACAAGGGTGCACCAAATTGTGCTTTTGCACCTGATATCTTCCTATCAAAAATTGAAGCAAACTATAAAGAACTCACTTTACTCATTAGTGATACAAAAAGTTCAGCAACGGATTCTTTATTAGTGCTCCCAAACCCCTTGAATAGCACAACGTTTCTCTGGACACTTGCAAAGTCTGCACCATCTATAAATGGGTATAAAATATCTTACTGTTAGTTTTTAATCAGTAATCAGATGATAAAAATATGACAACAGCAAATGTAGTTGCAAAGAGCCAAAAAGAATGACATCAATAGAGGAGGTACCTTTCAGTAAGCCGGAAAATGCAGGTAATATTGGAGGATGCCGGGTCTGCCCTCCACATTTACAATTCATAAGTGCACTCATTTATTTTTGTTCAAAAAGAAAAATAATTAAGCCTCAAGTCTCAGCCTGGGCCCCTCTAATGGAAAATTCTATACAACAGCTAAGCTATATCCAATGTACTCCGATCGTGAAGTTTGAACAGAAAATCAAATAAAGGTAACAATCTCAATTTACCTGTAAATGGAAAGCAACTAAGGAGATAATTGCCATCGAGCTCATCGTTCGATCTTTGGGACAATTAACATCATGTGTCTTAGCCCAGAACTTCATCTGCAGAATAAACAGAAAATAATTGTCATATCTTTTAGGTAGATAACTTCAAGGGGAGTATAATGCTAGTTATACTTTCCAAAAATAAACAAGACAGGATTGAAATACCAGATAACAAAGTATCTGAAATCTTTCATCAATTGAAGAAACAAGTTTAAATATCATCGATCTTGACATGCCATCTTTGTTTTCGACTGAAATATCACATTCAACCCCAGTTCCCTTATCAGTAACCTTCAGTACAGGAACTATAGCACTTAAAACAGGTAAAACCCCATAACAACGACCACGGCCTGAAATTGACAATACAAGAAAGATAAGAAGTAAGGAAGACATCGACAGTAGCAACAAAAGGCTTCTACTAAGCAGTTGGTTATATGCCCAACACGAAATGGACTACACAGTTTGCGGACATCTATCCAAGCAATGCTGATGCTATTGAATTGTAAATGACAGGCAGCCTTGCCTCGAATGAAACTTGTTCAATATAGCCAATTATAATTCTTCCGATTTTACATGTTTGGTACATGTCATATCTTGCAGTTTATACAAAGAGACAACACAAGAAATGGATAAAATTTTAAATCTTTGTTTTTTTACATAAACTGGACATTATAAAATAACTAGCACACATGTCCGTGCATTGCAACGGTAGAAAAAAATGATATATACTTATATTTAGTGAGACATGTATGTGTAAACACAACGCCTTATGCCACACTACAAAGAAAACGGTAGTTGCAACGGGAGAAAAAAATTGATGTATAACGGTAGTTGCAACGGGAGAAAAAAATGATGTATACTTGTATATACTTATATTTAGTGAGACACGTATGTGCAAACACAACGCCTTATGCCACACTACGAAGAAAACGGTAGTTGCGCAGTCCACCAAAACGGCCAACAACGCCACAGAACAACAACCAGATGGTGCCACTCGGTGGCAAGGAGGTTCACCTACCGAGGTTTATCAACCACTCATCATTCGTGAAATAGCGCCGACAGCAAAAATAAGATGCAATCCATTATAGAGGCTATATCTATATAAATATTTAACACATACTACCTCCGTCCGGAAATACTTGTCGCTCAACGGATGTATCTAGACGTGCTAGATACATCCGTTTGAGCGACAAGTGTTTCCAGACAGAGGGAGTATGATATAACCTAAGATGTAATGCACTGGGGAGCACTCTTAGGTCTACTCAAATTTAGTGATAATTGTATGTGAAAGCGCAACGCCAAAGGGACCCTCAATACAACCCTCAAGCTGTTTAATTCGCCAACATCATCATGCATGTGCATCGATCTCCTTTAATTATGTCGTTAATTAGTTAGCCATATCAGCCTAGTCACTCATACGAACCAATGTGATCCTTTAATTATGCATGTCTCCTGTTTATTTAGCACACAACCAGCACACATCATGCACGTGCATTGTGCTCAATTAATTGCATGTCTCATAGAATTCCGTTTAATTAGCCCACGAGCGCCGATGCATGACCGATTTATAGGTTCTCAGCACGACTCGTCACCTAGCATGCACACGGCAAGCCACATCCTATCCATCGTCACAAGGTTGTGACTCTTTTTCTTTTGCTCATTCACGGTGGCCGCTATGATTGGCGCTGCTGGTTGTAACGCCTCATTATCTTTATCTCTCTCCCATTGGCCCATGCAAAGCCCATTATCCTTGTATTGCAGCGACTGCTTGTTGATGATTACGAATTAAGACGTATATAAATTGGTAGGAAAGGATGCAAGGAAGCGAGGTGGTATTTTTAATAAGCAAAAGAACCATTACTTGTACACATAGTATGGGGTAGCTCAGTTGGATGTACCCTTTGGGCTCCACACCCACGCCAATTTTTTTTGACTGGGCCGGCCGCCACCTCAAGCAAGAAAACAGGGCACCTCATGTGAGAGGATCGGGAGAACAACCCACGAAACGTTTTTTCACTTACAATGAACGTGGCCCAATAACGGCACTGATCAATTTATAAATCAAAAATAATAATATGGGTGAACGGATCAAAAATTCGGAGAAACGCACCTTGCTTTATTAGTAGAGAAGATATAGAGGTATAGATATAGATATAGATAGATAAATTATGACCCCAGGTATTGGTGGAACTAGATGATACCCGCCACATTGTTGGGGGAATTATTTGCTATATATTTGATCAAGTTGGAACAATATTTGATTATTGTATACATTTAAGATAGTTATGGAATATAATTAGTGTAATAATATTCACATGCATGGGTGCATGTTGTGGTGGATCATTCCTCATGGATGTTAGCATGTTGAGGTGGCCTTTTTTGCATGCACGGTTGGATGTTGAGGTGGCATAGTTGCATCTTGAGATAAATAGAAGAAATGGGGATCACTCTCTCAGGTATATAGGATTCTATGAAAAAAATGCCCCTCGAATTAGCAAAACTGTAGGCTTACTGCATATAACGATTTCGCATTTAGAACATTTTGGCTTTCAACGGGATGAATCCAGATTAACATTCTGCAGGGCTAAATATGAAACTCGCGTAGACACCAAACTAAGGTTGTCAATAATATGCATTACATGATACAGTTCTTGTTAAGAGTACGTAATGGGCCTAATGGGCCTGGGCTGGCAGTATAGCCCGTTAGTCTTAGGGTTTATTAGAGATAAGTATCGCTTGCTTAGGGGTCAAGTAAGCCTTGCTTGGGAGTCAAGTAAACCTCTCTATATAAAGAGAGGAGATGTATCAATCTAATCAAGCAAGAATTAAGAAGGAAATCCCTTCCCTCTTGCCCGGCCGTGGGCAAAAAGGCCCCCGGCCGGCCCTCTCGCGCCCTCCTTCTAGCAGCGCCATAACAGTTTGGTATCAGCTAGCTTCGGTTCGATCATGTCTTCACCGCCGCCCAAACCCGTCTCTTCCGCTGCCGGTCACCTCGCGCCCGCTCCCGCCGTCCTCACCCCGGAGGAGGTGTCCGGGGCGCTGCAGGACCTAACCCTGGCGGTCCAGGAGATCCGCATGTTCTTGGCCGGGTCCTACGGGCCGCACCCGGCTGCACCGCCGTGGCTGCCGTGGCAGCCGCCACACCCAGCGGCATCCGCCGCGCTCGCCAGGCCGCTGCAGCTGCCATCCACCGCCACCACCGCCCCGCCCTGGCTGCAGTGGCAGCCGCCGCTCCTAGCGGCCTCCGTCGCGCCCGGCGCTCTGCCGCTGCAGTTGCAGCAGCCACCGCCGGTCAGCTTCGTCCCCGCATCGACCGCGACCACGGCGCCGGTCATCTCGTACCAGTATGGGATGCCCTACGACGGGACTGCGACAACCTCGTTCCCATCAGCGCCGCCGCCGTCCCAGGGCGTCCCCATCCAACAGATCAAGTTCCCACCATCGCTGTCACCGCTTCCGTCTTGGATCGCTACCCACCACGTGTCGGCGGCGATGAGGCTGCAGGCTGCTGCGCGTGGCCTCCTAGCGCGTCGGCGTGTGCGGGAGATGCGTGGTCTGCAGCTGCCGCTCCTCCAAGTTGCCCTTCGCTGCGCAAAGGACCTCGATCTCGTCCACTGCGTCGGGGATCTTGGGCATGCGGTTTCCCCCATGGGCGGTGGGCATGCTGTTTTTCCGGCGGGGAGAAGCCAGGGTATCACCGACAGGAGCGCACCACGTAGCACCACTGCATTCCGCCGGCCGCCGCGAGGGCGCCTCTGCTGGTCGCTCTTGCGACCACTTCCAGGTGGCCATACACATGCACTCCTTTTGTCCAGATGGTGTCCATGGGATCCAGGTGGCTGTACGCGTGCACGTCCGACGTGCGGATGGTGTCCACTTTTTGTTAAGGGCTCCAAAATAAAGCATCCCTGTCCATTTCAGGTTGAGAGTAATAAAACAAGCCGAGATGTAAAAGGCTTGTTTTTAGGTGTTAGGTTTGTGTTGCGTCGAGTCATGGTTATAAGTTGGTTAGGCTGCAGCTCGAGGACAAGCTGCATGTCCAGGTGGGGTGTAGTGTTAGAGTACGTAATGGGCGTAATGGGTCTGGGCTGGCGGTATAGCCCGTTAGTCTTAGGGTTTATTAGAGATAAGGATCGCTTGCTTAGGGGTCAAGTAAGCCTTGCTTGGGAGTCAAGTAAACCTCTCTATATAAAGAGAGGAGATGTATCCCTTGCTTGGGAGTCAAGTAAACCTCTCTATATAAAGAGAGGAGATGTATCAATCTAATCAAGCAAGAATTAAGAAGGAAATCCCTTCCCTCTTGCCCGGCCGTGGGCAAAAAGGCCCCCGGCCAGCCCTCTCGCGCCCTCCTTCTAGCAGCGCCATAACAGTTCTGAACTTTTCTTTCAAAACGATTTTGGCATGCACCTAATAGTGTTTATGTGTCGGTGTTTTCAGCAAATGTTATATTGCAGTGCCATAACGCATCATAAAACTGTTGCCTACACATGCGGTGCAAGCTAAGTAGAAGATGAGCATCATTTTATTGCATGAGCAGTTTCTCTTACGGTTACTTCTGTAGCTATGTACTTTTAGAAAAAATTATGGTAACCTCAAGATCTTCACACATGATGTATGCAATCGCTATGCCAGTCTACGTCCCTTCTTTAAATCTATCAGGTCCAATATATAATTTTGTAAATAAGATGGAATGACAATTTATGAATGTGTGTTTAATGAACTTGAATCTCCAATGAAAGATGAGTGGACATACAAATGCTAGGAGAGATATGAAGATAAGACAGTAGTAATTACTCTGATGCTTATGTAGGACTTTTGCGAACTTTCTAATAACAGAAATCTTGTCCTTGCGAGCAAATTGACCATCCATATCATTGCTAAAGTTGACAGAGAGATCAAGATCACTTTTAGTAGTAAATAGATCCATTGTGAATGACCCAAACGGTTCCACAACTGGAAAATCATCTTTTTTACCTGAAATCAAACATCACAAGAAATAGGTCACACCATCACGCAAATTTCATATATTCATATGGGAGACAAAACCTTCCTAGTAAAAATAATATCAGGATAGTGATAGCCTGTTACATATAAAAATTTGGAGAACATGTACTGGCATTAACTAATCAACTACCTCAAAGAAGAGGTTGACTCCGTTGGAATTTAATACACTTAAAAAATCAAAACCAAATACCACTAACCCAACAGGCACAAAAGATGTATGCTCAGATTTCAGAATGTACTTTTTCCCTCATGCTCTATAATGTACTCCCTAAATGCTCTTATATTTCTTTACAGAATACAACAAAAGGACTCTTTATGTCCTACCAATATATTCCTAGTACATCAACTTATCAAGGCATAAGCTTCCATAAATGAAGTGCATGGTGAAATCTGCAGTTGTCACATATTCATCTTAGCTGGCAGGTATCTGAAATAGTGAGACACTGTTACTTAAGTATTTGCATCTTTGCTTGACTGCCAGTGAACTCACATACTTGAACATCTGCATGTAATCTATAAGATCACAGGTGTTCTAAAACCAGGCATGAATGTGATGATTTCAATCCGTATACATATCTATAAAATTTTACTGTACATGTTAACAACAATTAGGCATAATAATTGAAAATACAGAAAGTTCGATAGTATAATTTCTTGACCCAAATGGTAACAGACAGGAACATCTCTTACCAAAAATATCTTTGGCAATTTTGTTGAAGACGTCTATCATAGTACGTCGTTGCTCATACTCAACTGGCTTTGGGCGCAACATCGCATATGTTTCTAGAAGTAGACCTTCTAGAGTTGGAAGCAGAGCAGGATCAATCAGGAATGCCTCTGATCCCAACTCGCAGGTTTCCGCATGCTTGCATAGAGCTGCACGTAATCCAAAATTGAAATCAGACAGTACCACACCTAATGTAAATGGCAACAGCAAATCATGCAGCTGAAGCCCAATTGCAGGTCACAAGTATGCTAAAAGACACCACCCCAACTGTTTGGGAATTTCAAAGCTCAGCGAGGTTATATTTGTGCTTTAAACGGAAAGACGTTACATTTGTACACCTTTGGAAAGTCTACAGAAGCGACAAGGAAAATAACTTCGCCAAAGGAAAATAGAGAATTAAAATAAGTGCACAACGAACCTACTATGGCTCGTTAGATCCCACAAGATTTAATGAGCTACTTTAGTATACACTATTGGATCCAACACACAATTCAAAGGATATAGCATACGTCAACCCGCACTTTACCATCCAATAGAATTGGGGTTCATGACCGACCAACCGACTACCAGAACTTTCTACAGTAGCAGAAGGAAGGTCCTTCCAAACTGCATCACAGTTGGTACAGCTCCATGTAATAATTCTACACGATGGATTACATGCCCACATTGCTCTCCACCGCGGTCTACTCCATAAATAGAGAATAAAGGATGAACACTGAATAGAATCTTCCGTTTGCTAAGCTTCAGAGAGCCACCAGAAAGAGAGACGGTACCTTGGGTATCCCATGAAATTGCCACGCTGGGCCTGCAGGATTCCAGAGAAAAGGAAGTTCGCGTTACACATCACAGAACAGAAAATTTCTTCATCACCAGCCTAGTACATATTCATATATGAACAGTAACACGTGGCAGCAATTTCTCAAGCGCAAGCACACATCTTTTTTTCAACTAATAACAGACTGTATCTAAAGTCCACCCAAAATCTGACTTCGAATTTAATCGAACAAGTAAAAAAACATCTTTTCGACCAACCAAATAAAATCCTGCCTTCCTGTGGCTACAGTTTGGTCTCGGCTATAATTCAATCTAACAAACGGAAACCTCATCAGAATTCAATCTAGAATATGAACGGCAATAAAACAGCTCTAAGCAAGGGGAGGAAGAGGGGAGCGAAGCTGACCGGGGAAGGTTGTCGGGGCGAGCTGAGGGCTCGGGTTCGGGCGCGGAAAGAGGCGTAACGGTCACCAACGCCATGGAGTGGGACGGAGAGAGCCGGCGGCCGGAAGCCGGCGGGATCGGCGACGCTGGCGAGCCGGCAGGGTAAGGAGGTCACCGGTGGAAAGGTCAACAAAACCGCAAAGCCTACGAATAGCCAGCAAGTCGCTGACGGGTGGACCCCACGGCTCCGGTCACATAGGGTTTTTTTTTTCTTTTTTGTGGATTCATATGGTTTTTTTTCTTGAGATGATTTTGAGGATTCATAGGGTTTTTTTTGAGACAATCTCGCGAAGCTTTTATTAAACCGTCACAATGTTTACAGGGACGAACGGAAGATCTCCGGGCTGGCCTAACCAAACATGGCGGCCAACCCCTAGAGAAAGTGCATGCTTCGCTAAATTGTGAGCCTCATAATTTGAGCTCCTAAATTCATGGCTAAACTTACAAAAATCAAAAAACGACGAGTGATCTATTATTTCATGTATGGTTGCTCCATACCGAGATGCATTCTCCTTCGTAATGTCCTCAACCACCACTTTGCAGTCAGACGCCACATGGATCCTCCGCAAGTATAGATCATCTGATAGTGCAAGGGCTTCTCGAATGGCCAATGCTTCCAACGTCTCCGGTTCTGAAACATGTCTGAACACTAGGGCTGAGGCTCCCAGGAACGATCTATTCGCGCTCCTGCTTATCGCACCCACGGCTCCATATCTTCTGTTTTGAGATACTGCAGCATCCACATTTACTTTTGCACTATCCGCTACCGGCGGTTGCCAGATAGTCGATCTAACGGGCTTTGCTACCGCCGGCTTCGACGATACAGTATTCAACACTTGAAGCTCAGCCAGGTATCGCGTGATGAAACCATGTATAGATAATGGTGACTGGAATATGGCCTCGTGGATTGCTTTCCTTCTCGCTCCCCAAATTGCCCACAACGTGACAACAAGCCGAACAAAATCTCCCTTACTCAGTATATCATGTAGCACAAAAAGCCAGTCCTTTGGGCTCTCCTCTTGGCGATCAATAAGGTGTTGCACCAGATGTTCAGGGGCCAGCGCCCATACACTGCTGGACATCGGACATGTCAGTAACGCATGCTTCCATGTGTCTCTTGCCCCGCAGAGATTGCATGTATCTTCTGTCGACATATGGCGACGCATAAGCAACTCACCGCAGGGCATAGACTGTCTAGCTAACCTCCAAACGAACATCCTAAGCTTTGAAGGTACTTGGATGTGCCAATGCTGCTCCAATCCTTGCTTTCATGCTGAACAAATGATGATCCTTCCGCTTCATGCAGCCATGCCTCTTGATTGATTTTTGTTCTTAAAATCATACGGTGTGCCGAGCCAACACTGAAAATACCACGTCGTTCCTCGTGCCATGCCCAGAAGTCTAAAACTGTACGCGTACACAGTGGTATCTTTAGGATTTCCTCAGAATCAAAGGGAGTGAAAATGGACCGGACTAGTCCTTCATCCCAAGACGCAGAAGATGCACTGATGAGTTGCGCCACTCTAGTAGGAGGATGCTGCACCAGAGAAGTTATAGGTCTTTTGAAACTCTCCCTCGGTATCCAGTTGTGTTCCCAAATGTCTGTGGTTTCTCCATCTCCAATCCTCCTAATCAAGCCTTGTGCCAAAATGTCTCGGCCATCCAAAATGGCCCTCCAAATCTGCGATGGGTGAGCCCCCAGCTCTGCGTCTAGCAATGAACAGTTTGGGAAATAAACTGATTTTAGGATCCTGGAGCTTAATGAGGACTCCAAAACCATTGTGCGCCAAGCCTGCCGTGCAAGAAGTGCTAGGTTAAATATCTCCATGTCTCTGAATCCGAGGCCCCCCATATATTTCGGTCTCGTCATGACATCCCATGACACCCAACTGGGCTTCCTTCTGCCCTGCTTACTCTCCCACCAGAATTGCCTTATGATCGATGTGATGTTCTCGCAGAGCCCCCGCGGCAACCGGAAGCATGCCATGGAATAAACAGGTATCGCTTGTGCAACAGACTTAATCAAAACTTCTTTGCCCACCGAGGACAGCAGCTTCTCCATCCACCCTTTGATCTTTTCCCATACTCTATCTCTCAGGTATTTAAACGTTCCATTCTTTGACTAACCCACATCAGTTGGCATTCCCAGATACCGTTCAGACAAGGACTCGTTTTGGACCTGCAAAGTATTCTTCACCTCTGTTCTGGTGGGACCCGGACACCCCTTGCTGAAAAATATGGAGGATTTATCATGGTTTATCCTTTGCCCCGAAGCATCACAATATTTCTCTAGCAGGTTTGACACTGCAACTGCTCCCTCTACACTCGCCTTGAAAAGCAACAGGCTGTCATCTGCAAATAGAAGATGGTTAATGGTTGGAGCCGTGGGGGCCACCTTGATACCTGCTAGTGATGACTGAGAACTGGATTTCAGGAGGCACGAAAGGCCCTCTGCTGCAATCAAGAATAAGTAGGGGGAGATTGAGTCTCCCTGCCGGATTCCTCTGGTTGGTTTGAAAGGATCAAGCTTCTCACCATTGAAAAGAACTGAAAAAGAGACCGATGAAACCATAGCCATGACTGTGTTTATCCACTATTCTGCAAAACCAAGTTTAGTCATGATAGCTCTCAAATATGTCCACTCTAGCCTATCATAGGCCTTCATCATATCCAACTTCAGTGCATAAAAACTGTTTGACTTCGCCCTGGACCGCTTCATAAAATGCAAACATTCATACGCACAAATGATGTTATCCGTAATTTGCCTCCCTGGCACAAATGCAGACTGCTCCTCTGAAATAATCTCAGGTAATATGACCTTCAACCTATTGGCGACCACCTTGGATGCGATTTTGTACAATACATTGCAAAGACTAATAGGTCGAAACTGAGACAAAGCAGTGGGATTTGTTACCTTCGGAATAAGAACCAACACTGTGGCATTGATGCATTCAGGACTTTCTTCCCCACGGACTATGCTTAGGACGACCTTGGTAACCTCGTCACCACATACATCCCAATGTCGCTGATAAAAGTGTGCGGGAAAGCCATCTGGGCCCGGCGCCTTGGTAGGAAACATTTGAAACAAAGCATTTTTTACCTCTTCGTTTGTGTATGGAGCACAAAGTGATGCGTTCATCGCCTCCTTCACCTTCTGCGGGACCTTATCCAGCACTTCTTCCATATTACTAACACCCTCCGTAGTGTACAGATTTTTGTAGAACATGTTTGCCATGTCCCGGAGTTCAGCCGGATCCGAGATAACAGCACCCAGGGAGTTTTGTAAGGCTTTCACCATATTTTTCTTTCTGCAGAGGCTAGCGCGAAGGTGAAAGAATTTGGTATTCTTGTCTCCCGCCGAAAGCCACTCGACCCTTGCCCGCTGTCTCCACATGATCTCCTCTCTGTGATACATCTCGATCAGCTGCTCGTTTATCTTTAGTTCAACATGAGAAGGTCCAGCTCTTAGTGGGTCGCCCCTGAGCTCCTCTAGCATTTGCTTAAGCTTCTTAATTTCCTTCCTAACACTTCTGAAAGTGTCCTTGCTCCATCTAATCAGCCCACCTGCAAGGTTCCGCAGCTTGTCACGCATCTGTTCCACGCTACTGCATGGTGGTTCCCTGGCCCATCCTTCTGACAAGATCGTTTTGAGCCCCTCATGTGTCTCCCACATTAGCTCATATTTGAAAGATCTCTTCCCCCTTTCAGTTGTTCTGTTTCCATAATCAAGCAAGATTGGAGAGTGGTCTGATGTGGCACACGTAATGTGTGATACTGATGCCAAAGGGAACCTCGCTAGCCATTCCGCATTCGCCATTGCTCTGTCGAGACGACACCGTGTGTAGGTACCCCCCACAACCTTTTTTTCAAAAGTCCAAAAATTGCCCTTATAGCCTAAGTCCAGCAGCATGCAAACATCCGTAGCGTCCCTGAAGGCTTGGATTTGAGCGTTACTACGCTGTCCAACCCCCTCATGTTCATTCAGACGTAAAACTTCGTTGAAATCGCCTATGCAGAGCCAAGGGAGTGTACTCAAAGTACTGATGTTCTTCAGAACCTGCCATGTTTGGTGACGAAGGTGTGTCTGAGCCTCACCGTACACACAAGTCATCCGCCATATTTCTTGTTCATCTTCCTCTACCGACACATCTAAATGATAGTCAGAATAGCCAAGAATCTCCACTTTTATTGAATCATTCCAAAACAGTCCAATACCACCGCTTCTACCGCGGCTATCAACAGCATATGATTTATCATATCCAAGAGTACTAGCTAAAGCTTCTACCCTAGATCCTTCGATTTGTGTCTCAACTATACACAGTAGGGGAGGGGCAAACTGCCTCGCGAAGTCGCGAAGCTCACGAACTGTCGCAGCGTTGCCCGCGCCACGACAGTTCCAACATAAGGTACTCATTGGCCTCGGCGGCGCCCCTCGAGGCCCGCCAGTATTATGTCACCCTTGCCTTGCACTCCAGTTTTGTCCATGTTGTTCTTGCCATCATCTTTCTACATCTTTGTCCTCTTGGTCTCCTGCTTACTACTCGGGCTGGGAGGGACAGCGGGAGCTGGGAGTGCCAACGTAGCTTGCTGTCCATTGCTTATCGCTGCATGATTTCCTGCAGGCACCACAGTCTTCCCCACTGCTAGGTCTGACCCCCTCTTTCTGTTATTCTCAGCCTCCTTCATCACAACATCACTATCGTCCTCTAGATCCTCCTCCGAACCATCATTGCCATGGTAAGGTTGGTACTGAGTGCTTTTTCCTTGGCCATCAGATCGGCCACCCCTTTTGCCTCCTCTCCGGCCTCGTCCCTCACCAGGACCCCGGCCAGTACGCATAAACCAGCCTGCCCTCAGATCCTTAAAAACTAAAGCTGAAGGAGGGTGTATCCTATTGCCATGCTCCTTGTATTGGTGGCCAAGCATCCCGCAGACCGCACACCAATCCGGAAGCTTTTCATATCTGACCCTGTAAATCTACCTTTTGCCATCACGAATCATGGATACAGCATTCTTGAGAGGTTTAGAGACATTGA